TCGCACCACGGCTGCCGCAGCCGCTGCTGCCGCCATTGGTCCATACGCAGTGAGGGGGATTGCTAGAAAAGAAGGAACAGGCATCTCAGGGGCACTGTGGCTACACGGGAAACTCCTCAACAGGAGCCTTCGTTTCCTGCTGCAAAATACCAGGCCCGCACAGACGTATTGGCTTAGCGCATCACACAGGACATCCGAGAATGACAATAGGGGAGTGCACAGCCCTGCATTTATATTGGTCCATACGCAGTGAGGGGGATTGCTAGAAAAGAAGGAACAGGCATCTCAGGGGCACTGTGGCTACACGGGAAACTCCTCAACAGGAGCCTTCGTTTCCTGCTGCAAAATACCAGGCCCGCACAGACGTATTGGCTTAGCGCATCACACAGGACATCCGAGAATGACAATAGGGGAGTGCACAGCCCTGCATTTATTGGTACCTTTTGCACAGCGAATGTCCGGGGGAACTACTAGCCATGCTCTGCTAAGCCCACACCCTGGCGCAGCTGAGGGCACGACGTGGAAGAGCTGAACCAGAAGTGGGCAATTTCAGATGTATCCTGTCGCTACTTAGCTTGCGAGATGCAGTTAATCTGAAGCTACAGATCCAGATTTTGGCTGTAAATGTGGAGAAACGCAGCAGCTGGCAGCTAAGCGTCCTGAGGCTCAGCCCCTCCTCTCTGCCCCTTGGTACTATTCTTGAATAAGAGTTTAATAGCCTCTTTCTCCCTGTTTCTCTACTCTGCTCAGGATGCACCATCCTCCCCACTCTGAGTTTTGCTCCTGAACTGCTCAACCCCTTGCTGTTCACTGTAGAAGAGCAGGAAACATATACCTAGGGAGCAGGAACTAGAAATGGCTTAATTAAAACAGTAAGTCTTAATTTATATGTAGCAGTTCTAATTCCCAACTCTACTGCCACAGGCATCCAGCCCTCGGGGCAGGAGGCATCTAGCCAGTATGTTTCTCTTTGCCCTTAAAATGACTGGGTCAGCATTTCATGCTTGAATGTGAAATTCACTGTGATTCTGTTTAGAGCACCATAAAAAGAGGTCAGAACAAATCAATCGCGTTAAGTCTGAAACCCAGACTAGCTTATAAGGGAATATTTAGTAGCAGGCACCAGCCTGCTTCAAGCAAACGTCATATGAGGCTTATATCTGGGTTAGCCGCTCATTACAGGCCCTGGGCCAATGTGAGCATGTTGCTGCTTCGCATCACCCCCAAAGATGCTGTTCCAGGGAGGAAAGGCTGCTGGCAGCCACCCTCCTGCCCCATCATTGCTTCAAGTCCCTAACACCCAGCTGAATGAATGTGGTTTTACTGAGAAAGGAGGCCAGGTCTTCTCAAAAAGACTCCAGTTCTTTTTGCACGAAAAACCCTTCTTGCCTTTGCAATCTACTGAGACACCAGGTTTGTGTTGTGATGACAAAGCACCTGCATGTTAGCTCCCTGCGTGCTGGAGCAATCATCCCTGCTTGTGCCATCCCCTCATCTCAGTTCCGCTTGCCAAGCCCATAAAGCGCAGCCCATTTACACGCACGCATCCACTTGAAGGCACAAGGGCCCTCGAGCACTGCACAGCTCGCTGGGCCTTTGTAGGAACGAAGGGGGCCCTGCCCTTCGTGGGACCAACTCCAGCCTATACGTGGGAATCGCAGCTCTTGGCCTAGCCAAGAGGCTGCACAGTGACTGTTTAGCAGTAGGTAAGCGTAACGGGAAGGGAAGAATGCCACGATCCCCAGCTGGTACTTCAGCGAGACACTCAGGACTGTAAGCTAACATGGCACCCAGCCAGGACAGCAGCATTAATAACTTCTTGTTGTACAGAGCCCTGGTGCACCCCAGCCACCGGTGACAGCCAGGCCCCGGGCAATTCACCTCCACTAGGAAGAGGCACAGCGCAGCTGGGGGTGGACCTTGGAGGGAAAAGCACTTTTGCCAGGTCACCAACATTCCTCTACAAATTTTATGGTTTTGATGAAAAAGACACATGTAAATACACACTGGACCCACATCTCCTTTGCTTGGCAACCAAAAGGCTGAGAGGTGGGGGTCAGGTGCTTGTGCAGTTCCATACATGGTGTCAGGGAAGGGTTTTATTAAGAGGGAGCTAGGATTTAGTCTCCCCCTGCCTCCCTCGGGGCAGTTTGTTTGTTGGTGGCTGCCAACCTCAGCATCCTCAGGAACGGAGGCTCCCTGAGGATCGACACGGTTCTGTGCCACAGAAACCCCCTTTCAAGCCTCTTTGTACTGTTAATTCCAGGAGAGCTTCTCAGGAAGCTTTTCCACACCCTCATTGCAGAGAGATTCAAACTCTGAAACAGGTGGGGGCAAGGAAGCGCTGGAGAGGAGGAACACCACAGAAATGAGATGGCACACGGGGAGCAGGGTGCTACACAAAGCTGCTTTTCTACGACAAAAACCATGGACAGGACAGAGCTGGGGAAAACATGGCTGTGGAAGGGAAAGTCGACAGAAGGAACGTCACCTAGAGAGAACACACTGCACACAACCCAGGGGCTGAGGATCCAGAGAGTATTTGCATTGTGAGGACACTGAGCCAGGACTAGTCCCTGGAGAATAGTCCTCTGCCCCCGTTTCATTCCACAGTTCGCCACGAGCACTGCGGGACTTTACAGTAAAGTCCCACCACACTCGCTTCTGTCCGGGAAGCCCGTGTGGGAGTAGCTGGGGAGCTGTACCACCCGGAGCAGGGAGAGCGTTCCCTGCAGCCCCTCCTGCACAGGGCAATGGGATTAGAGTAACCAGGAGTGCCCCCACACCCTCTCCCTCCTCCCAGCACTCCAAATCTCGTCCTTGCAGCAGCTAAGGTTAAGGTCATTTGTAGACCTTTGAGAAGTCACCCTGCTCTCTGCAGTTTTCCATATCTGGTTTACACCCAGCCTGGGGCGAGGAGCTAAAAACGAGGCAAGCAGCAGGAGCAGCCACCTAAGGATTACATGCCTTCATTTGGTATGACTGCATTGCCCTTCTCAGAGGCAAGACACATGGCACTGATTGCTTCTCCATCTTTCCAGCCCCAGCTCTGGATGGAGCTCATACAGATGGAAGAGGAAATAAGGAACATTTCCAGTCTAACTGCACCAGGCTGTGGAGCAGCAACACCACTGGAACAGCCCAAAGCCCCCTTCTCCCCTTCCAGCTTGTGAGTTTAGGAAATGAGCGGGACTGACCTGTGAGCTCAGGGAGGACGGGGGCACTCGGGAGAGGGGTCCGCTCTACACGGAACTCTAAAAATGAAATGCAAGACAGCTTAGGAACTCGTCAAATGCCCCGAGGGAGACCCCGCAGAGAGGCAGCAGCCAGGGTCCGCTGGGGGAGCAGCCTGCAGCCAGAGTGTGACCAGGCCAGTGCCTTCTTTAAACTAATTTATAACTGGTGCTGAAAGGTGCTGGACTCCTGCCCTGGAGACTGAAAGGATCCATTTACCCTTAGAATAAATCTGGCCAAGGCAGGGCAAGTGCAAGCTTCGCTGTGCAGCCTCAGGTCTGCCCTGGAGCACCGCTCTGCGACCCATCCAATCTGACCTCTCGGCTGCCATGCCAGTGGGTGCTCAGCACGTGCCACGCTCATCTGGGCATGGGTTTCCAATGAGGCACTCGAAGCCACTATGACTGAGACCCATAAACTGAATTCACGGAGAGCTTCCAGACAGCTAGGAGGCAACAGCAACTTTCAGACACAGTCAGCCTGAGCTCGCCTCAGGCGAAGAGAAAACTTCCCATTCCCAGCCCCTAACATCAAGGCTTCATATATAAATCATCACGCTGAGGGATGGAGTAAGGAAGGGATGCTCGGAGTTGCCACTTCTCTAGAAAATAGCAAGACATTCTTTTCCCTGAGTGTGCTCTGCCTTGTTCCCTTGCCTCGCAGAGAACAGGAGGGAGAAGAGGCCCCAGAAAGCTCTGAGCAGCTGCGGCACAGCAGGTTCCAGCCATTGATCGCAGAGTCCATGTTCTGAGCACATGGCAGGGTTGGGAGCTTGAAACCACCCAGTTTGCGGGGGATCTGCAGCCCACCGCCCCAGCAGATGTTTTCTGGTGGCTGTGAGTGGTCCAGGCACTGTTCAGAACACAACTGTAGCGTTGCAGGCGCCTGTGTTTCGGGTGCCTAGCAGCTCCCTGGCCCATGGAAAGCCACGTTTTAAAAATCTGTGCTACTTTCAGAGCGGTGGCAACTCTGGTAAAGAGAGACAGACACACACAAAGGCAGCGAGACAGGCAGAGCTGCAGGGGCCCTTCTGTGTCACAGCAGCAGCCCTGCGGAGGAGGCTAAAGGGCATCAGAGCAGCCTTGGGCTTTTCCTGCCACTGGCATGTGAGGATAATCCTAATGAAGGACAGGCTGTTCCCACCTATTCCAGGGCTTCTCCCCTCCCCCTTCCACACCCGTCTCCAATTTAAAGAAAGACCAAACAGGGGAAAGGGTGAAAGGGGCAGAGCCTGGGTCATGGATCATGCCAGGGACTCCTGTCACCTGAAGGCAGACCAAAAAAAACCAAGCAGGGAACACCACTCACCAGGGAACTGGTAAGTGTAGCCAGGTGCAATGCCAGTGTAACTTCGACTCGCGTAGGTGGCAGCTTGGAAGCCTGGATAACCTGGGGGAAGACAAAAGGGCTCTGTTACAGCAAGCTCGCAGGGTCCATGTCCTCAGTGCCTGGCAGCTCACGAGCAGTGTGACCATTAGTGTTAGAAAGCACGAATAGGGCTAATAGCAGAAACCCCAGGAAATTGCCGGGCAGAGTCTGCACACATGCGGGTCTGCAGAAGAGTTTTAGCAGGCCCGTTTAATTTTTTCCTCACTCCAAACATGTAAGGACATGGCGATTTCCTTCTCAGAAACTCACAGCTCTGCAGACTAAGGCTTTCTGATGCATCAGCTGGATTTACAAATAGGAGGAGATCAGGGAGTTTGGGGGCATGTGAACGGCTGAATAGCTCTGAGTCACTTTTGCACTAGAAGTGCTGGCGAATGCAGGCAGAGCACTTCTTCCTGGCGCTGGGTGGGAGGACAATTCCTGCCATTCCCCGGGAAGCTGACCACCTATACAGAACGAGCCTGTGAGAACACAGGGCACTGACTGAGAGATGAATATTTGATTTGAGATCTCCCAAGACATGAGTACGTAGATTTCCCAGTGACTCAGCTTGAGCCTTGCTGCTTTAAATTCAGATGGCTTAGAAAAGGCAAAACCCAAAACCACAGGCTGGAGTTTTATTTTCCTTCAATAAGTCAAGTGAAAACATTGGGGAAAAAATGCCCTTTTTGGGGTTTTGTTCAGTGACTAACTGCTACTCGGTAGGCTTAGCAAGGAGAGCCAGGCTGAGTACACCCTGCCCAGCAACACCAGCGATGATCCTGAGCAAACAGTGTGCCCTTGGTTCAGCTCAAGCCTGGCTAGAACGAACAGAGGGAGGGAGAGAAGCCAGGAACAGCACCCGCGCTGGAAGGATCATGCTTGACTCTCAGGTCCAGGCACGAGGGTTTATAGACCTGGAAGTGGGGGCTACAAGGGACTTTTTTCTTTTTTGTAATCTTTTATCTGAACACATTTGCCTTAGAATCATTGATAGGCATGAAACCCAGCCTGCTTGTCACCAATTTCTCCTTACAAGACAGTCCCACAGTAAGTGTATGGTTTTCCTTGCAATACCAGATACTTGCTGTCCCTGAGAGGGAGGGAACAAAGCGAGACAAAGCTTAACTAGAACTTTAAGGGCATTTTTATAGTCTTTAAATGGCAGTGAGGACATTTATATGGACCACTGTTTCAAGTGGAAGCTCGGGGGCTCTTTAATCAACTAATTCACCAGAAAGCCTGTAGAAGTGTGGGAGGAAGATGCCTGGGCACAGATTACTCCACACTCGGTTCAGCTGTGTAGTTACATCCTATTCCACGAGAGCCATTGATGAATTACAGTCTATATGCTATGGCACTGCGGGACCGTTAACGGAGTTGCAGAGGGCCAGAGCTGCCCAGCACATGGCTGCGTCCGGCCAGCTCCTGCTGTCACAGGGCAGCAGTGACAAGCTTGCAGTTTTTCCAGGTGCCACCAGAGGGCAAGTTGTGATCGCAAACAGGTCTCAGCGTCCCCCCAGCGTCCCCGGCCTTGCATCAGGGAGAGCTGCCCTTGGCCGCCCTGCCCGCTCTCGGAATAAAACCTCTAAGCTGCTGCCTGGCACGACCGGGAGCTGGGCAGGAGATCTGTCCTTGGGCTTACCCAGCATACCGATCCCGAGCATGAAGGCATCCATCCCGTAAGGCATGACTCGGGACCGCCCTCGTGCCGAGCCCGTTGGGGACATCACCTCCTTCGGCTGGGCTTTTTTACACTCCACCTGCCACAAGAAAGTAAGGATCAGGCTCAGCCGCCACCGGCACAGCGCGCTGCCACAGAGCACAGGCAGCAGCTGGGCTGCAGGCCAGGCAGGGCTGCCCGCCGTGACGGCACTCCCCAGCCCTGGCCACCGCCAGCAGCCCGTCCCGCTGTCCTTCCCTTGCGTCCCTGCCTCTGGCCTGCATGCTGCCAGCCTTCCCTCTCGCTCTGCAGCCACCACAGGCAATGGGGAGCTCAGACACTGCTTTTCTCCTCCTGGTCTGCCCTTGACATTCTGCCTGGCCCTGCACCAGGGGCCTTGAAGCCTAATTTTCCTCATTTCTGAATGAAGGTAAAACCTGCCCCCTTCCCAGGCCACCAAGATGTTTCATGTAACTTTGAAACCTCGAAGTACTACACAGTTCCTCATTACAGTTAGCTCTTCTCCTTGAAAGCTCAGTATTGTCCTGGTTCACCTCCACACTGCGAGTTTCTTTCTCAGACTGGCTGCTGTGATTTTGGGGAAAAGACTCAATCCAATTCCCCACTGCAGAGAAAGTGTGTCAGGACCTCAGTGCCTCACACCCTGCCCCTGTGCCATTGCCCCCTTCTCCATCCCATGTCTCTGTCCCTTCTCCCCTGGCTTCTGCCCCAGACACTCACCATTTTGTTGTTGATCTCATGGAAGTGGATTTCACACACTTTTTCCACAATGTCTTCACTTTCAAATGTGACAAACCCAAAACCTGAAGAAAAGGCAAAACTCCTTGATCAGGTCAGAGCTCTGGACCATTTGCACACACTACCCATGTCCTTTTATTGGCAGGAGAAGAGAAGGAGCCACAGGCTTCTAGGATGGTATAATCAGCCCTTTCTAAAACAGCTGTCAGTCATCTTCCCTCTCCAGCAAATCCTGCTTTTACACACAAGAAGAACAGGAGCATCCCCTTATAGATTCCCTTTTCCTCCTCATCCTGTACTTCCCACCCTCTCTGAATCCAACTGCTCTCAAAATGAAGTGTATTTTTTTTAAACTTTGCTATTTGCAAGGCAAACCACGTGGCTGATAATACTCGGGAGGATCCCAGCAGACAGACGCTCACACAAAGAAAGTCGGTGGAGAAATGAACAGCTGCTTGCCAGGACATCACCATCCTCACTAAACGCACCCCACCAGCAATAACACCCTGCACGTTTCCTCTTCAGTCACCAGTCATAAAGCCTTGTATAAGCAGACAAATATCAGCAAAGCAGTTGTACAGAGCAAGACAGATACACACAAGCAAAGCGATTTGTAAAGTTTCACCAAAGTAAGGTTAGTATCCGGGGTAAAACAGGACAGGATGTTCCTGGCCCCTGGCCCAAACTCACACCTCCTTTCTCTCACCAACCCCTTTGCTGACAGTTTTGGCAAAGACCAGCTCCGGTGGGCAGACTAAACTCCTCTCAGCTGACTGCAGCCGCTTCCGGAAAACTGAGGCAGGTGGGAGGATGTCTTTAAGCTTGCCTTACAAGAAAGCTGGGATTAAGCAGAGCCTTCCGCTTTCCAGAACTGGCCAATTCCATGGTGCTTTAAAATAACTTTTAAAAACAGACAGAGATCTGCTGCCCAGAACCCCAGTTTTTCTCCATACTGCCAGAAAACTCTCTCTCCATAAACTCCTTTGTCTGTCTGTGCCCAGGTTACACACCATTCACCTCAACACCCACGAGCGGAGGGGCTCGGGAGTTCAAGAGCAAAACCCTGATGCCGAAACCAGTCCTGAGCCCCATCAGACCCCCACCAGGCCTGCTGCACCCTGGACAGAGCCCCACGCTGCCGACACAGCGGCTAGCAGCCCTCCCTGCTCCTTCCGAAACGCCCGACAACTCTTTAATTGGACTAGTGACTGGGGGGCATCCATGGAGGAACAGGGGTTAACACTTCCTCTTTAAGATGAAGCTGGAACAACATCCTAGGCCAGGCAATCAGAGTAGATTTAATGGCTTTAGAAAAAAGAAGAAACCTGAAGGGCACACAGTGTAGCAAGAGCAGAAGGGAGCGTTCCCTCACTGATCCGGGGGCAGAGGTGCTTGGAAGTGGTTCAAACAACACACAGACATGAGAGTGGCCCAGCACAGGGCTGTTACTGGCCCTGATTTGGAAGACACCAAACATAAGTTTGCAGGTTAAGTTGTGGCCAATAAATCTCTGAGCTGGTGCAATGCTTGCTAGCGTCGAGCCCTGCCACGCTCCGGGGCAATCGGTCTGAAGACTCACTGGGAAAGCGGGAGGCAGGGACGCCCATGGGTGGGCTGGGTCCGGATAGCACAAATATTAGAGCCTCGCTCCCATCCTGTAACCAGACTCCACCAGCAAGACTCGGGTAAGAAAAGGTGACCTGGGAGCACAAGCGGGCTCCGGGCCGAGGAAGGGCGAGAGGCAGGCACTCTTCAGGCTCTCGTGTCAGCTTTCCCAAAGCTCAGATTACTCAGGACAAGGTAAGACACACACTGCGGGCTGGAGCCACAGAGGTAAGTGGGCAGGGGAGGGGGCCGCCTCCTCTCACATATCTGCAACTCGGCAAGTTTACAGCACAGGAAACGCACTGGACAAAAGCTCTCTGTGCTGCAAGGGACACTGGTAAAGGATGCAGATGCAAAAGGATGGGGCAACTGGAGGCAAGATAAAGAGCAGCTGCGACCCGCACGCCCTGCTGCTGGGATACTAACCCCTCCCTACGCAAGGCAGGAGGCAAACCCTCCGCAGTTCCCTCTCCTACGGCCAGAAGACCGCTCTCACCTCGGTGTCGGTTGGTTGTCTTGTCGAACATCAGCATCGCGTCGTCCACCTGCAAAGAGAAGAGCTCCAGATGAGATTATTGCCATTGCCACGAGCATCCTCCAACACATTTGTGCAGAGCTTCCCAGGCCTCCCCAAACCAGAAGGGATCAAGATGAGACCTCCCATCCCCAAGAAGGAAACAGGGTGTGCGCGCACACACATACACACCAGCTCCCACACCAGGCATGTCCCCAAGCCACAACCAGCATGGTCCCCCCACCAGCCCGGGGCAGGTGCTGCCGAGCTGAGCCCCCTCGGCCCGGCCCCTGGCAGCAAGCGACCCCGATTGTTTGCCTGCGGCTCCAGCCGGGGGGCAAGGAGCAGGGAAGGCTTTGTTCCCAAATCCCAGCCTCAAAGGAGAGGAGAATTAAAGGGGGGGAGAGAAGCAAAGCTGGAGAGGGGAGAGGAATAAGGGGCCTCCCAGCGACAGGGGAAGCGGAGGCCTCAGACAACAGAGCCTGCCTGGGAAAGCTGGGAAGCGCCCCCGCCCCCACCCCAGAGGAGCCTTTCCTCTAAGTGAGGTTTCCCACTGCTGGAGGCTGTAATTAGAGCAAATTTACTGCAAGGCCTGAGCAGGGCTGCCTTCCCGGGGGGAGGGGCGGCCGGATCCCATCCCCCAGCCGGCCTGGGGCTGCTCTCCTCCCCAGCGAGCACATCACCGCCTGGTGCCACTTTTCCCCCCATCTTCCCGCTGGGTGTTGCCTTGCAGAGACGCATCTGCACCGCTCCGCAGATCAGGCCGAGCAGGGTTAAAAAATACACTTCAATCCCCTCCGTGTAAGCCCCAGTGTAAACCTGTCCCACTGACCCATCCCTCCTCTCTAATACCACTGCCTTAATCCGATTATGAAACTGGACATGCAAGTGCTCAGGGGAGGCAGTGGCAGTCTCCGGCCAGCAGCTGCCCCGGCCCTCCTCCTCCTCTTCCGTGCGAGACAGCCGCTCCCCGAGCAGCGAGCCCCGTGCGCCCCCGACTCTGTGGAAGGATTACTCCCTTGCCTTGTCCCCAGGAAGCATCTGCATTGCTGCCTTCTCTGAACAGCCTGTCGGTGAGGGCAGAACGCTGCCCATACCCCCGTGCAGGCAGCTACTGGCTTCACTCGTGGAAAGCCCACAGCCCCAGTCAGGGAAGGGAGAGGGCTCCTAGCCTCAGCCCCCCCAGGACAAATCAGGACACCCGGCTCCACCTCAGTGCCACAAGGATGGAAGCAGCCCTTGCTAACGTTTCCAGTGCCACTACGAGCAGAGATTGTCTTTGATGCCCTTAGGCTTGTCCAACACGTCCACCCCGCAAGAGCCAGGTGACAACAGACAACCTGACTCCCGCTCATCCCGCGCTCTTCCTGTCCCAGCTCAGCCTCCCTTGGCCAAGCCAACAAACACCTGAGAAACGTGCCAGGCGTCCAGCTGGAGCCACGGGGGATGTAAGACTTCACAGAGACCCGAAGCAACTCCTCAGCAGCTTCCCAAGACACAGCCAGCTCATCACGCTGCCATTCCCCATCGCCACTCGCTCCTGCCCCTGCACCATTTGCCTTCATGGTGCTGGGGGGAAACCTGACGTAGCTTAAAAATATTTCAAGAAGTTTTACTGTCTTTTTTTGTTCATTTTTTAAGCTAGATCCGCTCCTCCACCCAGTTCTCAGAAAGGCTGGGCACATAGCTGTCCTCCCCAGTAAACACTGGGAGAAAGCTGTGTCAATGGCACTGTGCAGCAGTGCTGCTCCCGAAGACTTCAACTTGGGTAGCTGGAGCCCACAAACCCATCGCAATAAGAGATGGGCACGAGAAAGAAAAACCCAGCGGGGACGCGCACAGCCCTGACTTACTCTGTTCAACCAACCCCAGCAACAACCTCTTCTTCGCAGAGCCTGGACAGCGGTAGCAGCTGCAAGCGGCAGAGCCCAGCGCATGTCCACACACAAAACCACCTCGCACCAATGGCCCGGGCCACGGCCCAGACGCTCCCGCAGCACTCGAGCACTTGGAGCCGGGAGAAGTGCAACTGCTTCATCCCAAACCGCACCCCGTACGCCGAGAGGAGAGCTGCAGCCTTCCTCCCTCTGAGCCTTTTTCCAAGCTTCTGCCGGTGCTTTGAGACCAGGTGTCTACCCAACACCCCAAAACATCTTGTGAAAACAGATTTACAGTAACATGTACTCTATTTGAAAGCCGTTTCCTGCTATGAGCTAAATCTAAGATAGATAGATGTATATGTATGCGTATATACACATAATATGTGAAATAGTCTCACCCCACTCAACTCTAGGGCCCCAGCTCTATGTATAGCTACAACTGGTGGTTTTTATTGACAACAAAACCTAAACCTATACACCTATACATGAGCATCTTCTTGTCTCCTTCCAAGGCAACAGGTGAGATGAGCTGGGTGGTCTCAGACAGCACGCAGCCAGTGACGCGAGATAAAGCAGGGCCCTGCAACCCGGGGGGTTGCAGAGGTAGTCCTGGAGCCCACAAAGGCCAGCGGGACAGGCTGCAGACCGGAGCACACTGCAGAGCCGGGAGAAAGTCCTCACCTGCATCCACAGGGAACAGCCATTTCCAGGACTCTGCCCCGGGGGGCCGGCCTCACGCCAGATCCCTCCTAGCTCTTGCCATCACCTCCCCTGGTCCGGAGCTAGGGGAGGGGACGGGGACCGGCTGCCTCAGCTCGCAGGGATCCCCAAGGCCCAGCACTGCCCAAACACCCGGGCAGACCCTCGCACAAAGCGCTGA